CTCCTTTAATGGGCCCAGCAGAGTTTTTCCTGAACACTGAAACTTCCCTTTTCTTTATTTTGCTCCATTTCCCCTAATTAGGACCATTATAATTAGTGTGCTCATTACCTCCCCTACATAATTTCCCTACCTCTTTGATAGTCACCCTTCATGTATTTTTGGCCTGCCTCCTTTATTCGCTCTCTAGACTGTTGTGAAATTTCGATATGAATATACTACCTTTTCCTTCACAGGGCTCGCAGCTGAGGGCCTCAGAGAGGGAGGCCTCCCCCATCCAGTTCCCTCACCGTGCTTCTCTTGCGTCTTAAGGGAATTTCTAGCCAAGGAGGAGAGCTGTAGTCAGAGACACTGGGGAGTCGGAGGCTGGCCATGTCCTGCAGCGTTGGGCGTCATGTGTTGATTGTCCCGTGGCATCTCGCTGTTTACCACCAGGTCTAGAGTAGATCCTCATTGTAGCTGTGACCCAACCGCATCATCCTCATCATAAGCTCATAAAGGCAGAGATTTGAGACCTTTTTATGTTCCTATCGAGTCTGTAAAATAAGTTCTGAGACCCTCTTTTCTCCACTCCTTCCTTATACTTACTTTGTTTTGTCCCTGCCTTCCAGACTCTTCTTGCCCTTGCCTCCGGGCTATCATCTGGAGCCCATGAATGAAGCGTGTGGACTTAACACGAGTGCTAACACTTGGACACCCGTAGGCTTTGCAGATGAAAACAAGATCAACCAGTCATCCTGCTTTGCCTTTTCAGAAACTGTCCCCCCACCCCACCCGCCAGGTTCTCCATACTCATGATGTTTTTGTTACTACTTTGATATATACATTAAGTTTTTCCTCATTTTATCTCATCTTAATTATCCTAATGAAATAAATGGGAAGAAACAGGAAATTTAGCATGTATCCCCCAATTTATGATAGAGCCAAGTGGTACCTAGGTCTAGAGGTGACCCACCCTCCTGAATCCATGGCTCCCAGAACTCTTCTCTAGGTCTTACGCAGAACTCCTTTTCCACAGAAAAGCTAGGGAGCAATTTTTAAGCCACCAAGGACGCCACAAGTTTGGATTCCATGTACTGAAACTGAGCCCCTACCATGTGCCATGCATGGGACACAGAGATGAACAAAAATGGTCCCTGTTCTTCAGTTGTTTACAGATCAGTGGGGGGATGACAGTGGCATAAACAGGTCATTACCACTGATTCACTGAGTGGGCACTCGGGGGTTGGGGAGCTGAGTGGGATGGTTTCCCAGAGGAAGGCAGCGGCCCTGGTGAAATGCTCTCCTGGGCTGCTCCTCAGTGCTGTGTGGCCCGGCCTAGGCTTTAGACACCACGGCCACTGTCCCTCCCGCTTCTGCCTCCCTACTGAGCTCTCTCTCTCTTAATTGTCACCTGTCTCAATGAGTGAAAAAAATCTGTACCTCTTGACATCTTTGGGTATGGATAAGGAAAAGGGTAAATGTTCCATGCTAAGCATATTATCAAGTACTGTGAATGTCATGAAGGAGGAAGTTTTAAAAGTGTGATTTCTTCATGTTTACAAAATGAACAAATGACTCAGATCTATTGTACACATTCACAAGAGCTCCGTCCTAAGCTGGTCCCAATTTGAAGTCATGTGTCTTCCTTTGCATGTGGGGAAGGTTTCAAACAGGGTGGGAAGTGGAGGAGGTGGCAGTTTAGAGACAAGACTTGGCTCTGGGGTGTGCGAGCCTGGCGCTCCTCCTGGGCTCTGTGCCGGTGAAGGCTCCCCACATCCTTAGCTCCTTCCTAACTTTCTGCCTTCTTTCTCCCTGTCCCTCCCGCTTGTTTTCCCTTCCTTCCCTCTTCCCTCCTCCTCCCTCCCTCCCCCTCTCTATGCTTCTCCTACATACATACACCCCATTTTACTTACTCCTTCCAGTTGGCAAGGGGCTTTTGGGGTATGTTTCCTGTTAGGATAACTTCAGACACGACCCTGAAAATGGAAAACAGATGGCAGAGCGTCTATAGATTCGTTATCCTTGAAGTCCGGGTAGCCCAGCCCTGACTGGCTCTGAGCACTTTGCCAGCGGGGCTGCTGAGCTGCCTTTGGGGGGCCTTGCTGACTGTGTTGCTGATAGTATTACCAAGCCTTACTAGATGTGGGCGCTCAGGCTCTGACTTTTTAAAACTCCTTCCATACTGAATGTAGTTTGGAGATTGTTTTTTTTTATTAACATGATGATATTGTGCCACCATAAAGAAGTAGTTTTCAATGGGTCAAAACAAATCTTGATACTCTGTCAAACACATGTAAAAAGGGAAAAAACGTATTTAATTAATATCAAGATTCTGTGACATTTTGTAATCGCCATGCTGAGTAAATCCTAAGGAGTAACGCATTTGATTGAACTCGAGGCCTCCTTCACCTGGTAAACAAGTCTTTCCTCTTCACTGAGCTTTATCCCCAAAGGGGTGTCTTCTGTTGCTCTTGACCTTTTATCCTTTGAGGATTAAAAATTATCATTTACTTTTAAGAAGCTTTACAAAACAAAGTATGATATTAGGGCTAGCTTTATTCTGTTATTAAAGAGTTACATTCTATACAGGTATTTCATTGTTTTGTCTAGCTCTACTAAATTGGGAGGAAAGATATTACATAAATTAAGTTGTGATGTATTACCTTGTAGGGGATCAGATAAGTTTGAAATATTGCAACTGCCGTTGGAATACATCTAAAGTCTATCAGGGATTGAAATGGTGTCATAGCCCTTGTCTTACCCAAAATTGAAACACTGCAATTTTAAAGTTGAGCAATTACAAATTTTAAAGTTCTTTTTTTAAATATTATCATCTCTGGAATTGATTGCATAATTTGTTTCAGTTTGACAAATCAAATAAGCAAATCCATCCATCCCCATTGCCATCACTCCTACTTACTTCATGAATATTACTCGGTCTCATGAAGCATACTAGATATAAAAAGTGCATGCTGAAGAGTTATTCTTTAGGAATATTAAATATTGTCCTTGATTCGGTACCACAAGGTTACTTATTAATAGTTATGTCACCTGGGCATGACAGACTGTAATATTTTGTCATATTTTTCTATATAGCATTTTTAAGATTGATTAATCGTACTACATATACAGTTTTAATTTCATTTTTTCCACCTCATGTTCTAACAGAAGTATTTTCTGATGATAAAGATTATTTTTAATAACTGTCAGATTTTCTGAGTGGTGATGCCACAGTTCAGTGAAATTCTCAGTCTGTCAGATGTCTAGATTTCCCCAGTGTTTCTCTATTATAAAAACTGCTGTGTTTGAATATCATTACATGTAACTCTGCCCTCCCTGGGTAAATTAAACAAACAAGATAATTTACATTATTTTTTATAACAGATTATTGTTGCATTTTCCTATGACATAGTTTGGGGCAAGGGAATAGAATCAGAAATGATCTAAGGACATAATGTAGAGTAGTTTATTTTTTGGAATATGACCTCTATCATCTTGCCTTTTTATGGTTTGCATTTGCACAGAAGTGGAACAGAGAATATAGAGTAGAATGACTTAGGGAATGTAATATGGCTCCATTCCTAGAAAAGTCATAATTAGATCAAGGACCAAGTTGTCTTGTCCTAAAATATTTGCCTTCAAACAGTCTTCTTAACTGTTTTCATCTTATTATCTAGGTCAGTTTTTATATATATAACAATATTCAAAGCATTCTCTTGTTTGTTAAGTTCCTGTATCTTGCCTGGCTCACTGAGGATATGAAGATAAATCAGGCGGAGTTCCTTCCCTTTAGGCATTCACAGTCTGGTAGGGAACATAGAGGAGTAAACAAATGATTATAGCATGTACAAAGATACTGTGGAGACTGAAGGAGGACTCACCTCTACTTTAGGACTTCACAGAGGAGATACTTGAATTGAGTCTTGAAGGGTGGTCAGACGTTGCTGGGTAAAGGGATAGCAGAGGTGCAGAATAGTGTGACAAGTTTGGGATGGATACAGGGGTGGGATTGAGGTGGGTAGCAGTAAGAGATGAAGGTGCGCTGGGCCAATTAATGAAAAGTTGTTATGCTTAGGAGGCCATGGTTTTAGAAGGAGAACGAGCTGCAGTAGAAAGACTGGACTGCAGAGAAACTGAAGCAGAGAGGCAAATGAAGAACTTTTTGCAATGTTCTAAATAGGAAATGCTAGGCAGTTGAATTAAGACAGCAGCAGTAAGGATGAAATGGAGGAGACAGAGCCAAGGTAATTTAAAGATAGAGATTGGAAAGGAGATAGGAACAAGTTGCATGTACTGTCTTGGGTACCTGGATGGTGGGCATTTACAACCTTCTAAAATAAGAAAACGTAAGGAGAGCCCAAACAGGATTTCTCATCTTCTGATCTTTGCTTGCTTTATACTATACTGTGGGTCTAAATAATGAGAGTTGCAGACTGTCTCCATGCTGGCTTATCAGTTTTCCTATCCTGTGATTTTTCTAGCTCATTGTCCAGAAAAAAGAAATCAAATGAGTGCATTAGATTTTCTTCTTTTGCTTGGTAACCTAGAGATGGTCATTACACCTTCTCTACAAGAAGTACTAAAAATACTGAGTTTGGGGGAGTTTTCATTACTTACTGTCTTGAAATGTATATTGTATGACCAGATCTCAACTGATTGGGTTTTGTCCCACCATTAGAATGCATTGAGTTCTGATTATATTAAAACCCTCATATACTGACACATGACATATTTTGACAGTATTTAAAATAAATGGAGGCAAATTAATGCTGGCCAGCGGGGTACAAAGGACATTCTAAAGCAACAATATACGGATTAACAAGTACATGATAGTATGAAAGGCTACATTCATCTTACTAAAATGTCAGCTCATTTGGAGGAAATAATCTGAAACTCTTCATTCAGTTTACTTTCAAGATCTTCAGAGGATTGTATGGGAAGAGCCACGGAAGTGAAAGCTGACAGCAAATTGAAGATGTTGGCAGTGCTGTGTCAGCTACCACTGGGCTAATTGAGGCCTTGCTCTGCCCTGGGGCATGGAAAGGCTCATCCTGTTGAGAATCCTGGGTAGGGACAACCTTGTGGTTTCTCTTTGCATGCCTGAATAGCACATCATTTTTATTTAATTGAGCATGTATGTTCACAGGTACCCACTAGTTGTTAGCTCTGTGGGAATTTCAAGAAATAATACTAATAATCATAACAATATGTTTTGATTGCCTACTATGTGTTAGACACCATTCTGAGAACTTTTCATACATTAATTCATTTAATCCTCATACAGTTCCATGAAATAAGTACAATTAATAGCTCTTTTACAGCTGAGGAGGTTGAAGCAAAGAAAGGTCAAGTGACTTGCCCAAGAGCACCCAGCTAATAACATGATGGAACTAGGATGCAGACCCTGGAGGGCTGGCTACAGAGTCTGTGTTCCCAGATAGTATAATCCTCACTGTCTGAATGTCCTTCCCAGTTCTTACCACACTTCCCTGGAGAGCCTGGCCTAGTCATCACTTTCTCTTGATTCCTCACCCCACCTTCAGAGATCCTCTAGGTCACTCGTGTACTTTGTACAGAATACATTTATTATTTCACTCATTGCACAGAATATAAATATTTATATCTGTCTCCTGCCATACCAGATCTTAATCCTCTTCATAGCCACACCTGGCATTTGTATAGCATTTGGCACAGAGCAGATATTCAATAAATTCAAGTTGGGTTGAATTGGCTCACCTTGAACACATAGTGCTTATCCTCGCAAAGCTTTCAGTCTGCATCCCTATGAAAAAACTGAATAATGAGGAACTTTAAGCCAAGAATGTGATATGGTTGGCAAATGTGAGAATTCCAAGAGGGAGACTGACTCTCAGGATTAGATTGGATTGCTTTGGATTGCATAGAGATAGCTTCTCCAAAACATAGAATCTGAAATGAGTATAGACTGTAGCTAAGAGAAGGAAGAACACTGATCAGAATATTGACCTGAGGTGCCCGTGAATGAAATACCCTCATTTAAAGGGGCAGCAGAGTTGCATCAGAAAATGAAGGCTAAAATTCCTTCTCATTGACACAGATCAGAGATGAGCTCCTCAAAGACGCTGACCTTCTTCTGTCCTGGGAGCTTTTTCCATAATATCTGGTATGTGCGTAGTCCTCCCAAGACTATATATATCTGCCCTGTATATATTTGTCTGTGTCACTCAGCTCCCAGAGGGCAAGGACTGTTTTTGCCAAGCATCATGCCTGTCACATAGTAGTGATATAAATAATAATAATAGCAATAACAACTTAAAATTGTATAGAACAGTGATTATAAGAAATAAATATATACACATGATAAATAACTCCTACTAGATTCTTGTTATATTCCAGCCATTATTCTGATTGGATTATATTAACCTAATCTATGTTTGTTGAATATTGCCATCCCGTGAAGGTCTAGAAAATCTTTAATTCTGTGGTCTTTATCTGGACATGATCTGCATTTTAATTCTACCAAAGCTGTACACACACAGCAGAGTATTAGCCTGTGCCAGAGGTTACTGGAAACTAAGATTCAGTTCCTTCAGTGGCAACTTGGCCCAGCCTAACAGCTAGTATTTAGGACAGGCCACCAGTCCCAAGAAGAAACTGAGGTACAAAGCTGGACACCCAACAGTACAGTGGAGTGGACATCAAAGCAAGACACACACACTGCTCTCAATTCTAAGCTGCTGACATACTTCTTTTTCCACTTAGTTTAAGGTACATCCGAGTTTACAGGCAGGACCACTTGTAGCCCCAGCTCTCCATAACAGGGTGAGAGAAACAAGTCAGGCATTGGCAGGGACACATATGCAGACCCTATAATTATAGATGGAGTCTCAAACTTGGAGTCACTGTTCTTTTGCACATTGCGGAGGCCCCAGATCTTCATGCACCAGCTCAGCCTCCCCAAAATTGCTGTCCTAGAATAGTCTAAGTAAAATAATCTTGTCCAATAAGTATTTCAAGCAGGCACCAAATATTTGTCAAGTATATTCTTCAGATGCTACTAACTTTCAAGAGAAAAGTACTTTTAGAGAAATATTCAGACTTAATTGAAAAAGCACATAGCAATCAACTTGCATTCCCAGCTGGCATAAAACTGCCTCACTGGTAGCCAAATTTGGGATGCCTGAAGACAGACAAGTGACTAATACTAAGGTTGTGTGTGGCCAGGATCAAATGTATTTTTTGGCCACAAGACCATGTCTGGAGTCTCCTTTGTAATTACCACACAACGTACTGTAATTGTAAAACTTACATTTACTTCCTGCCACTGACATGTAATTCAGAGTCCAGGGCTGCACCCCCAGCTAGAGTGAAGTCCTCTCTGTTATTTGCCTAGAACCTATAAAATCATCATATGAAGTGTGTGTGTGTGTTTGTGTGTTTGTGTTGCCACATCAGTTAAATATGGTAAGTATATCCCTGTGAAAAATATCCACTATTGCCTTGTTAGGTGAAGCACTTTACTAACCATATGTTTATTGAGCACATACTACTACATACCAAGGATATTTTAGACTCCATGAAATATCAGTGAACAAGACACAAAGTCCCTACTTTCCTTGAAGAGAATGAGAAAGGGGAAAGGGGGGAAGAGAGGGAAAAGGACAAAAATATTGTGCTTACAGTATGGGCTGTATAGTTACAACAGAGAACAGATGGTCTCTGACTGATGGTAACACTGCTTTTTCAGCTTTATAAGTGAAACCCACTCAGCAGAAACCATACTTCAGATTCTGGATTTGGGTCTGTTCCTGGGCTAGTGATACGCCCTACAGTCTTCTCTCGTGGGACACTAGGGAAGGCCTCTCCAAAGAGATAACATTTAAGCTGACATTTTAAAATGACAAGGAGTAGGACAAGCAAAGATTAGGAGGAAGAACATTCTAGGCAGACTAGCATAAAGACCCCAAGATGGTAAAGAGCCTGGTATGTTCCAGAAACAGAGAAAAGACCAGTGTAACTCGAGCATGGGGGGTGAGAGAGAGACTGGTCAGAGAGGTTGGCTGTGTAGGCCATTGTAAGAAGCGTGCCTGAGGGGGCTGTGACCCTTGTGCAAGCAGAAGTCTACTTACAGGCTACTGCAGAGGGCTGGGCAGGAGGCCACAGTGGTTTGGACGAAGATGTAGTAGAAATTGAGAGAAGGGGCTAGATTTAGATTTAGGGAATGTACTTTAGGACTGGTCAACAGAACTTGCCAGTGGTTTGGGTGCGAGGAACAAAGGAAAAGGAATAATCAAGAATGGTTCCAAAGATTTTGGCTGGAGCAACTTGGAAGATGATGCCTGCGATGAGGAAGACTGAAGGCAGAGCTATTTAGCTCCGCATTCACTGCCATAACTGACTAACCATGATCCAACATTTTGGGTTCCCATAAATGCCCTCCCTCTCACTGCCCCATAACTTTACATCACTGGAGAATATTTGTAGTCTCTTGGAAATCCTTGATTGTTCACGTAGTTACTCCTGCAAGCATTTTCATGGTTTCACCTTTTGGTGTTCATTTTACGGCATCAAGAAGTTCACATTTAAGTTCGTAAGCTGTGGGTACTCCATAAATGTTAGTCCCTGGCCAGGCTTCCCTCCTCAGCCTATCACCTGGGTGCCCTGGACCCAGACAGGGATGTCAGGTGTGGATCTGAGATCTACCCATCTGGTCAGAAGTTGACAGCTGGCATGTACTTCTAACAACATACCTTGTATGTGTATATGGGAAACAGTATGCCTAATCTCTTGTTTTTCTAAGAGAGAGACTGGTCAGAGAGGTTGGCTGTGTAGGCCATTGTAAGAAGCGTGCCTGAGGGGGCTGTGACCCTTGTGCAAGCAGAAGTCTACTTACAGGCTACTGCAGAGGGCTGGGCAGGAGGCCACAGTGGTTTGGACGAAGATGTAGTAGAAATTGAGAGAAGGGGCTAGATTTAGATTTAGGGAATGTACTTTAGGACTGGTCAACAGAACTTGCCAGTGGTTTGGGTGCGAGGAACAAAGGAAAAGGAATAATCAAGAATGGTTCCAAAGATTTTGGCTGGAGCAACTTGGAAGATGATGCCTGCGATGAGGAAGACTGAAGGCAGAGCTATTTAGCTCCGCATTCACTGCCATAACTGACTAACCATGATCCAACATTTTGGGTTCCCATAAATGCCCTCCCTCTCACTGCCCCATAACTTTACATCACTGGAGAATATTTGTAGTCTCTTGGAAATCCTTGATTGTTCACGTAGTTACTCCTGCAAGCATTTTCATGGTTTCACCTTTTGGTGTTCATTTTACGGCATCAAGAAGTTCACATTTAAGTTCGTAAGCTGTGGGTACTCCATAAATGTTAGTCCCTGGCCAGGCTTCCCTCCTCAGCCTATCACCTGGGTGCCCTGGACCCAGACAGGGATGTCAGGTGTGGATCTGAGATCTACCCATCTGGTCAGAAGTTGACAGCTGGCATGTACTTCTAACAACATACCTTGTATGTGTATATGGGAAACAGTATGCCTAATCTCTTGTTTTTCTCCTTGTAATAAGAAAATTTTGTGATGTCTTTAATAGCACTTAAACTGATTTAATTTACTAAATGTATTTATCATAAATTATTTATTTATCATTATGCTGATATTTTTCCCTTTTGCCTTAAAAATTCTGTGGGGGCCAAAGTTTTCTTGTCTAAAAAATGGGAATAGCAATAGAATTGTTCTTTGTGGGTATTTTGTGAGGATTAAATTAAATAATGTATATAATAGAAGTGCTTAATACAGTAGCTGCTCTGTAACATTCAGTGAACTTGAAATGTTGTCATTAATAAAACAGTAATCTGGGGAAGGGAGGGGTGGCTCCTAGGCCAAAAAAATAGAGCCATACATTTATTTATAAATCCCTTTGGACAAAACCTATGATGTCTTTGGATTTCATTTTATCAGATATGTGAGAGAATTAGGATAACTCCAGTTTTAAAACTTCTGTGATTCTAGTAAGACAATCTATATTTTTCTCTCAAATCTTCTTTTTGCCAAGCTTAACAGATAGTTTTGTCTTTGAATCGGCTGTGATACTCACTGTCAGGCAACCTTTTGTTAGTTCATTGTAGAATCCCAATGTTAGAATCACTTTCTATAAATAATAGATTTCAGTTGAGAACATGTTCTGTCTCAAAAAGAAGTTTAGCTATTGAGACTCTTTCTCTTTCTAGATTCTTTGTCCCGGGGCTGTCACTCCCTTTTGGCATTCCCCCTCCGTCTTACTTTTGTTACCTTCTTTCGTGGTCACTGACATTGCTAGCCACCCACAGTTTCTAAGTTCCCACTTGGCCTCCCCTAGTGGTTTGGCATTGCATTTAAATTGTGCTTTCTTGCTTCCTCTACCTTTTGGAATTTAAAAATAGGAGGGAAAAAAGACCCCACAGTCTTTCACATTGGCTGAACTCTGTTATTCATCTAACAGATTTTCCACTGAATCCATTGTATGACATACACAGTCAGAAATCTGCCATCCCTTCAAAATAAGGCCTTTAAGAAATGGACAGAGGTACTTCAATTCTGATTATCAAACACTGTCAGAAATGGGTGGCAACAGCCACAGGAAGAAGCTTTGGAAAATGAATCAAAGAGACAGAATATTCTCAGCCCTGCTCCTTGACTTCTTTGCTTATCTGTCTGACTTTCCTGAACCATCATGAGGAACCATTGTGTGTTGATAAAGGACTCTTTTAGGAGTCTTGTTCTCTGAATACCAAAGACAAGTCCCGGAAACACAAAAACCCTTCAGAGGTCTAAGGAGCATTATTACAGAGGCCCCACCCCACGTCATACCGAGCATGCTAAATGATGGCAGCCCTCACATTAAATAGTTTTACTGATGACAAAATTTTTTGAAAATATTTTTATGATTTTGCTTTGGAAATAGGTTGGCTACAAGTAACTGATTTAAAATAATTGGCTATTAATTTATCAGCAATTATCTTAGCATACTTGGGAATTACGAAGTTAAAACCTAAATCTTTCCTACATACTGCTGCCAAATGAAATATTTTTAATTGCCAAATCAATAATTAGTGAAGTTAACCTAATATTACATTTTGTAGACCTTTAACATATTTACTCATTCATTCAATTTTGTAGTTATCCTGTTCTGAAGCTGACAAATAGTTTCTAAGGTCTCAAACATTTTTATGGGCCCTTGAAGAGCTGGAGGGTCTAGGCACTGTACCTTAAGACCCTTGAACATGCTGTGCCTACAAAGTAGTAAGCTTAGAGGCCTTCAGTTTTACTGTCTTTAAGGAGTCAGAGCTACTTCGAGGGACATTTCTCTAAGAAAATAAGCTGGCATACCAATAGCACGTCTGCTGAAACAAGTTGAAACTCCCACAAAAAAAACCCAGAATAATTGGGGGCAGACTCCTTGAGTTCCAACTATTCGTTCACTGGGTGACCTTGACCAAGAGCTCTGTGGCCCTTTTCCTGCCCCTAGTAGTACTTTTTCAGATAGATACTCCATCTGGCTAAGGCGACAGGCCAGGGCCATCAGTTCTAGGAACTGAAGAATGTGCAGAGCCATCTGAACTGGACACAAGGGTTTCCCTCACATACTAAATGCAAAGCAATTTTAATGTCTTTACTATTTTGCCAAAATGAAAGAAGGAAGGGAAGGGAAAAGAGAGGACAGGAAAAGGAAGTGGGGAGGAAAGACTACACCATTAACACTTGTGTTTAAGAAGCTTCTGGTCTTTAATTTCTGTGCAAAGTGACAAGTTTCCCTTCTCCAGAGAGAAAGGCTTTTCATATGAGATACTCAATCTCACTATTCTGTTCAAATGTCATCTATCATCTATTTTCCCTCTGTGAGTGGCAAGTGTGATGTAATGAAAAGACCATAGGTTTCAGAATCAAATAAGCTACAAGCTACTCAACACCAGCCCTACCACTCATTCGCTCAGCAGTTCTCAAAGTGCAGCCCAGGGACCACTACTGTAAACAGCACCACCCTTTAATTATTTTTTGTTCTGGAAAATATAATTACTTTTAATTTTTTAATTAAAGGAGTCTTAATGTATGTAATTAACATAACATGCATGTCAGTTATGTTAACATGTAATAGGGTTATTTTTAAGTGAATTAATAAATACATATTTTTTAATTCCTTATTTTTAATGTCTAATGTGGCAAGTATTAATATAACCCACATTTAAAAAGTTCATTGGGGTCCTCAGTAATATCTGAAAGTATAAAAGGGTTCTAAAACCTAAAATTTTGAGAACCCCTGAACTACTTAACAGTGATTACCACATATGAATGCTTCCTAGTGCCAGGAGCTATGCAAATACACTACATTCTTCATCTCTTTTAATCTTTGCAACAAAGCTCTAAAGTAGAGGATCAGAAAGAAAAGGCCTTGTTAGCCCAAAGTCCCACAGCCGGAAGTGAAAGATAACCAGTTCCTTCTGACACCAAAGCCATACTCTTGATTACTGGACAGTACTTCCTCACATATTAGTCCTCTGTAACTTTGAAAACACTATCTTACTGCTCTGAGTCTGTTTCCTTATCAAAAATGGGCAGAGTTCTACCTACCCCACAGGATTCTTTTAAGAGCAGAAGAGTTAATATGCATCAGAGTACCCAACAGAGGGGCTAACAACCGTAGAGACACTGAGAAATTGTTCGTCCCCTTCCATTCCCTTCTGTCCTTGGCATAATGCTAGATCAAGGAAGCTCAACCACTTCCCTTTTTCCTTCTAGATGGTCTTCAAGCAGACAGAGAGGCTGATGGAACTGAAGGAGTAGATGAAGATATGATCGTGACCCAAAGTCAGACCAACTTCATCTGCCCCATTACGCAGGTACTCATTCCTCCTTCCTCCCTTGAAATGAAAAGAAATTGCTTCATAGAGGCAAAACATTCCCGTTTGCTTTCTGATCTGAGTTCGCATGTAGAGCTAAGGAGGAAGGAAAAGAAAGTGGTGAGGGTCAGGGGTATATATACATGGGAGGTTTCTGGACTAGAAAGACTTTTCAATCAATCATGCCCTTAAGGATCAAGGAATAAAAATTCCTGGCCCATAAGCCAAGTGGCATTGGTGCCACTGATCTCCCTGCATTTTCTACCGTGGTCACTTACCCTACTCATTATCTAAAGCCATGAGATTGGGAGGTCAACATAGGAAGCCCTGGGACTAGGAAAAAACAGCACCAAATACTTGGTGACTTAGAGAAGTTACGCGAAGTTGGTCATTATCATTCCTGAAAGCGGAATGTCTTCTTGATTGCAGATGGAAATGAAGAAACCAGTGAAAAATAAAGTGTGTGGCCACACCTACGAAGAGGAAGCCATTGTTCGTATGATTGAGTCCAAGCATAGGCGGAAGAAGAAGACCTGGTGAGTTGCTGCAGGAAGGGAGGTGGAGCCTTCCGAGTGGTGGTCCGCCAGAGGGGGTGTGTGCCCCCTGGAGGAAAAGGTACTTACATGTCTCCCCTAGAGTCTACTCACCTCCTGAACAGTATGAACATGGAAGCTAGATTTCCAGGAAAACAATACATGAGGGAAAAATTAGTAATCTGTTCAGGAAGAAGCTAAAGGAACTTCAACCACACCTTCATAATAGGAGAAAAAGGAATCGGATGGAATTTTAATCATTAGATAACAGGAATATTTATGAACTTGTGCCATAGCCTGAAAAAAATGAAAGAGAACTGTGATACTAAGAGATTTATTCTTCCCATTCTATATGCACTTACCCAAACAAGAAAGAATGTTTCTTTTGTTTGTTTTATATCCTGCAGTATAGGTAACTTTGTTTAAAACTTATTAGGTCAACATTCTAAGGTAATAATTTTTATCTAAGGTCTTGATCATAATTTCATTGTCAAGGAAAACATTTCATATCTTTAGTTATTTAAATAACTTCCCAAAAGGTTTAAGTAAATTCATGGGTTACATCAATGAGAATTTTCTTTTTCTAAACTGGAATGTTTGGAGAATCTTCCTTATATGTAATATATTTTTCTACCCCCTTCACACACACTCCTCCCACTGCCCCAGCCCATAACCTTGGAGGACCATGTCTCTGTTCCTATAATAACAGAACCCTGAGTTGGCTAGAACAACTTTGACTTGGTTTGGCATTTCTTATGCTCTTATCACAGACTTGTGGAAGGAATGGAATTGCAGGTGTGACCAGTTCTCAGTGGACTTCTGATAACAGTCCCTTTGATGTGTGGCTTACTTCTGTATTGCCCAGAAATGTGCTGGTCCAGACCTAGAATTGGAATTCCCCACCACTTGTCATCTGGGTGTGAACATAGAGATAGGGTGTTTGAGACTGTAGCTATCTTAATGGTCACTCAGTCAATTAATTTACCCTACTTGTTCTAGAAGAATGGCCTAGTAGTCGCAAAATTGAGATTGGGTACATTTTTATCTGTTTTGAGTTTCCAACTTACAATCAAGATGCCTGTTTCCCCAATGTCATACTTACCCTGTGAATACAATCCTCTTTGTTTCTAGACTTCTAAGCCTTTCATTTCTACCTTTTTCTGTGTTCTTCTCTGAAAAACAGAACATTAATTTGTTAACATAATTGCAAAGAAAAGGGATTCCCACCTAGTTCTGTTTCACAGCTCTTCTTTCTTAAGGTTTGTGATGCTCTCCTAGAGTCATATTGGAAATGACAGGCAATGATACAAAGCACATCTTTTACAAGTCCCAGGGTGGGTGGGAGTGACTCCCAGAACTGGCTCATATTTAAATGGATCTTCTTACTTACATACTTTGACTTTCTAATGTCCTTTACCCTTTTTGAATTGTACATGATATTCAGAAGCACTTGGGTAACATTTCTCATTTAGAAAAGTGTCTTTCTCTGTCATATTTCTGTAACTTGGGGACAGATTCTGCAAACTCTGCAGATTCTCATAGCTTAATAATAAAAATTAAGTCCAAGTGGAATAATTCTGGGAGGTTTACAGAGAAAGTGGTAGATTGACTAGGCCTTGAAAAATGAGAAGGATTTCAGAGAATGGTGAAGAAGAGTCTTCCTAGCTGAGAGGGTCACTATTCAGCACCTCGTTTACTTGGGGGTGATAGGTGCAACTATGTGATCATATGTTTCATGGAGAATAGAAGGATGTTACAGACAATAACAGTAGGAGAGCAGTGTAAAGATTCATTATAGAAGGTGTTAAATGTCATGATTTCATTGGTTTCCTCATCTAAAAATTGATAATAGTTGTAATCACCTCATTGATATGTTTGAAACTTTAATAAGGTGTATGTAAAGTGCTTGAAGTACCTGGCACATGGTAAGACTAGTAACCATTATCCCACCACCCTCATTCTTGCCTCCATTGCTGCATAGGCATGAGAGAACATTACAGAGCTGGAAGGGAGTAAGGTGAGTCAACCAGGAATTTGGGATGTTACTCCAATCAAAATTTGTGGGATGGATTAAAAAGCCATCAGGTGAAAACACCAATTAGGATGCTTTTGCAGTAGATTAAGTTGTAGATGATGAGAACTTGGATTGCGGCAAGAGTCAAAGTTAGAATGGAATGAGAATGGGAGTGACTGCGAAGGTACAATTGGCAGAATTGGGCAACTGAACATTGAAGAGAGAAGACGTGACTAATGACTGCCATTTCTAAACTGTGTGTGGAAGGATGATGGTGTCATTAGCCAACAGAGGGCATAAAAGAGGAACACATTTAGGAAGGATTATAAGAGACTAGTTTGGGTCATACCGAGTTTAAGGTCCTAGCAATACAGCCATGTGAAAGTATCCAGGAAGCACAGAAAATGTGGGATTTTGAACTCAGGAGAGAGCTCTGAGCTTACAGTGTTGACTGTGAGGTTATAGAGAAATCAGACCCACTCATCAGCCAGCACAGGTGCAGCTCTGGTGTGGATATGACCACCAACCAAGAGCCAGCAATGACAGGACCCCAGCCTGGTTCCAGGCAGTACAAGGGCAGGGTCTAGCTCTGCTCATGATGCCCTCCTCAGCACCTGACTTGGGGCCTGATATAGACTCTCAAAAAAGCATTTTTCTCCTTAGTGAAAGGGTATTCAGAAGAAGAAGACCCCAGTGAATCAGTCTGAGACACAGCCAGAATGAGAAGGAGAGTTGTCTGTCGTGGGAGCCAGTGGGGGAGTGGGTTGGATCTTGAAGACAAGGTGCATTTGGCAACAGAATAGAATTCAAATTCTACAAATTCTTTGAAACCTACTCCAGAGGTTCATAGTTAAGAATGAAGTAGTGTCATTTCCCATGAACCATGATCGGGTAATGAGCAGTTCTGGGTTCCCTTTGTCTAAAAAGGTCTGTGACACAGCCAGTTTGAGAAATCTCTATTCTTCCTCCCAGATGGTTCTAGTTATGTTTTGTTAGACTGAAGTTGCAGGTACATTGTGTTAATGGGCACTGACTAACTTTAATGTCCATGCTTGTCTCTGTGAAGACCTCTTTCCACTGGCTTGGGTCAGAATACAATTGCTGAGACTTTGTCCCTAACTAAATACAGTAGTTAGAATAATTTCCTAAAATGCATTTTTAAATAATCAGGCTACTTCTTATCTTACTAATAAAATTCCCTGTGATTTTCAAATTAATCAGATAGTTACAGTTTTCCAGTCATTTCTTTCCTTTTTTGTTTAAGAACAGGAACTGTATTTAGCAGTCATATTAAGAGCTTTAGAGTAAAAAAATTAAGTTGAATAGAAATGTCTGGCAGAATAGCAGCACTCCAGCCTCAGGCAGGGAGTCCTCATTTTACCAACAGGACATTTAACCTCTCAGAGCCTCAGTTCCTTCATCTATAAAATGGAAATAACAACACCATCTCACAAAATTTTAGGATTAAAGACATGGTGGGGAAATTCCTACCTAGGTCTGGACCAGCAAAGGTCTTGGCAGTGGAGAAGCAAAGCCCTTAGGAGAAAGCTCCTTTTGAACTAAGAGCACCAAACAAATAACAGTAGGGTTATTCAGGTCCAGACTGTGGGTGTCATCTTTACTTACCTCCCTTCTTAGTGACATGTTACTCTAGACTCAGAGGATGTAAGATAGTTACTCTCCGTGTGTAGGTGTGATGAGAATCCATCTCCCTCAGATTTCCACAGGTGTCTACAGACCTACCTAGAGCTTTTAAGAGCTGAATTGGGCCTGAATTCTTGGGACCCAAATCTACGTGCTCGTAAGACTCAGAATCTTGCACTTTAGCACTGTTGCTGAGGCCAAAGTTCCCTGCAACCTTCTGGGACCCCTAAAGCCCAATTCCCTTTGTTGAGTAAACACTTTGGTGCTTGCTCGCTGCTGCAGTGGAATGTTCTGCCCTGTCAGTGACCCGGATTAGGACCCACCCTCTCCTTCAAGGCCTGTAGGTCTGACTTCTGCACAGCAGTGACGCTAGAGCTTAAAGTTGGCTATTGCCACACCTGTCTTGCTCACCAGGATGTTGTGGGGCTTAATGCACTGGTGCTTATATAGAGGGCTGTTTCTCCAGAGGAGCATGCTGATTCACTATCATGTCATTATGGCCTGGTCTTATCCTTTTTAGTTTAAACACTAAGTTTGCTGGTTTCAGATGAGATGGGAAGCAAGGTTCTCCCCAGATCCTGTGCCAACCTCTGCTCCAAGAATCCTTCCCTGGACCCCATTCACACTGGGCACAGTGGCCTTCTTTGTGCTCCCACAGTGCCGTGACCTGCCAGCATTGTCAGTGGGGCTGGCTCCTCTTCTCAAGCTTCTTGGGAGCAGGAGCTGGCACTGTAGCACCTGAGTGAATGCCTTGACCCTTATCACACACTGTCCTACTCATTTCTCCCAGCAACCTTATGCTCTACCTTCATCATTATAAAGGAAGGATCTGAGGTATGGAAATTAAATCACCTGCCCAGAGTGTCACAGTCAGGAGACTTGAGCCCAAGTCTCTTTCACTCTTGGGTCTATAGTTATGTCTTCAGACCATCTGGCTCCCCTTAGGAGGGCTTTTTGGTTAATGCCTCTGTCCCCAGTCAGGACCCTAAGTGAGCTCAGACCTCTTTGACACGGGTCATCCTGGACTCTGCCCCATTGAGATGAATGTGCATGCCTGCTCTGCAGCTGAGTGGTGTGGTTAATCCCATTAGACATTCTCAGAATGCTCTCATTTACTGACTGAAACCACTTATGTCATCAGGAAGTCCTCCCCACCTCGCTCTCCACTTCCCTCCCCACAGCTTATTCACTGTCTGGCTGTCGGTGCCAAAGACTGCTCTGTGGAGCTGGGAGGGACCAAGGCCCAGCAGCCAGAGTGGATGTTCAGTGACTGATACAGACCAAGCAAGGGGGATCCCAGCAGCACACCTGCACACTGCGGTTCCATGTCACAGAAGTTGCCGCGATTAAAAAAAAAATGCCTTTTCTGAACTCATGAAAATATCTCTATCCTTTCTCAGCTCTTTATTTTCATAAAGAAATAATTCACATTGAGACATAGGGTGTTTTAAACTAGTGTAAGACATTTCTAAGCACATCTAATCCTTACCCGAACACAGAGCCTAATCGTCAGAACGATGTAGACCTGGGCCAGATCACCCCTATCCTCTTTCTTATGACTACTCTTCTATAATTCCATTTTAACACATGTATCAGACTATATCGGGCACATTTCAGTCTTTTAAAAATAAATATCATTAACAATAGTGTTATTCATTACACTGATTAATACCCCTCTAATATAAAGATACCTCAGTTCATAAATAAAGGTCAAAAAAAAGTTTGTCTTTCATGTTGAACTGTTGGGCTTCCTACAACTGGACAAATCAGTGCCCCCATGCTCAACCTATACCCTTCTGGTTTATATCTTGTGTGTTGTGTTTTTCACTTTTGATCTTATTACAGCTGTGCTTTTTGGAGAGTTGTCTCAGATCACCGGGCTGGAGCTCTGTGTGAACAGGAACCTGTATTTGTATTTCACAGTTGGATGCTCGGAACCTAGCTTAGACCATCACATAGAAGCGTCACATGAATGCATGAATGTGTGATGTATGCAAGACAAAGATAGACACCGTGAAGGGAACAAACAATATTGAACACTGTTGCCTGTAGCCTGTGAAGCAGGGATTCCCCCCACTTTAAATCTGAGGGAACAGATGCTCAGAAAGGTAAATTTTCTTACCTGTGGTCTCATAACTAGCAAGATAGAGGTGGCAATATTTAGACCTCAGGCAGCTTGACTCCAAACAGTGGGCTCTCTACTCCACCAAAGTCGGCTTCATGCTGAGAAGAAATCAGGTGACTTCATCCGACCCACTGCCTTTAGAGACCACATGTAAACAGAGCCATGGCTGTAAGTTCCCCCCCATGGATGACTCACACTCCGGTTTCTTCAGCCACAGCTTTTCCCCTGGGTCTGCATCAGCCCATGCAGTCTCTCCCCTGGGGGGACTAGTGGGCACTTAAGAGGGAACATATACGGCTGGGACTCCTGATTCCATCCCCAGCCTGGTTTCCTGTTGTTCCCCTTAGAGATAAAGGGCGCCACCAGTTGCCCATTGGCTCAGGCCAAACTCCAAGTGAAGCTCAGTTCTCTGCTTCCTTCACCCCCATGTCTCGTCATCAGCAAGTCCTCCAGGTTGTACTTTCAGTTCTGCCTTGAAGCTGGCTACTGCTACCACCCTGATCCCAGCTGCGCTCTCTCCTGCACTGCTGCAGGACCCCCTGTTTCCCCTGCCTCCGCTCTGCCTGTGTTCTCCACTAGGCAGCCAGGGTTGTGTTTTCTGAATGTAAACCAAATCACATCCCTCCCTATCTCAAACCCTTCAGAGCTTTCTCTTCATATTTATGATAAAATCCAAAGCCTGCCGGCCCTCTGGCCTCATCTCCAAATGCCCTCCCTCTTGCCCTGGGCGTTTCAGCCGTACTGACCTTGCTCTTACTCCAGGCCACCAGGCTGCTGTGTCAGCCTGGCCCTGCCCTTGTTCTAGGTGAGACCTCCTCTGACCCCAGCTAAAGAGCCCCGCCCCACACTCTCCCTTGACCCTGCTTCCTTGCCTTCAGCACTTACCATGAACTGAATTTACAGCGATCACTTGCGTGATGACTTAGTGATTGTCTGTGTTCGCCATTGGAAAATGAGCGTCGTGAAGCGGGCACTGCCCGGCCACTGCCTGGGCCCCCAGCCCTGGACAGGGTCTGCTCAGGTCGGCGGTCAGTGACCAAACGGAGGAGGGCGCATCAGTCCTGATTTGTAAAACGTGCTCCTTTTTGGGTAAAATGTGTCACTTAAATATTTGTAAGAGAAGTTTGTGCTGAGGACATTAATGTCCTAACTTGATTTTCTTATCCTTCACAGCTGCCCCAAAATTGGCTGTAGCCACACAGATGTGAGACTGTCTGATCTCCTCCAGGATGAGGCACTTAGAAGGGCGATTGAGAACCACAACAAGAAAAAACACCGCCAGTCAGAGTAGGAAAAGCCACCTGCCTGCAGGGACGTCCGTCCGCAGCCTACCTCCTGCCCCAGCCATCTGCAGAGAGCAGTGCTTGGCAGAGCGGTTCTACCGGCTGCAGAGCATACTTTGTTTGGGGTAAACCTTGAAGGTTTTAAGTGTAATTGAAAGCAATTTTCTATGTTATAGCAAAATTTCAAACATATTATATTGTTTATTTTTCAGCATTCTCTAATTTTAAATAAAACTTTGATTATCTGCAGTGTGTCCTGTGGTGCAGGCCCAAGGGAGCCAGGCCTTCCTATTGCCAGTAGTTCAGGCTGGTTTTGTATCATGTTTGAACCAAGTTTTTCAAGTGATATTTGAAATGGAAACACATAGAAACACCCCAATTGCAAGCATTTTGTGTCAGTAAATAATAACATGAGGTTGCCAAGCCAAACCAGTTTACTTACTGAATTTACTTTGTGTATTGCCAGTTCCAGATATGCCAATGCTTTTATTTGTCATTCTGACTGGCACAGAATGCTCCAGTAACAGGCTTATCAGAGCCATGATAATTGAAGCCCATAATGGAAAGTTCGTTGCAGCCCTCCTCCCACCTCAAGTATCAGAAACAACCACTTCTTGACTGTTCTCTGCTTTGGTTAGTGGCTCTCCGCAAGCGGCTTCATCCCCCCCGGACCTTGGAGTCTTGAAATAAACCAGCCATGAAATAAAGATGTTGAGAGGAATGATCTCTAATCTCTCTTCAGCCCTTGAAGTCTGTGGATTTATGAACAGCCAGGACTTTAAGGTGAATATCTTTGATTATATTCTAATTGTGTGACAAGTGCTAATCTAATAGTCTCCATAGCAACCTTTTATCAACTAATTTACTAAGCTGAACAAAGCGTACCCTGACTACCCTAGGAAACCAAGAATAGCTAATGACGGCCAACATTTATTGAACACTGACTGTGTACTGGGCGCTTTCCATTTATATTAATTTCCATAATCTTCACAGCCTGAAGGGAGAGGTGCAGTTATTATTCCTGTGTAACGAGGCACAGAGAAGTGAAGGAACCCATGGGAGGTCCTAGAGCTAGTGGGCGGCTGAGGTGGGATGGGGACCTAAGCAACCTACTCCCAGAGCCTGGATTCTTAATCCTGTGCCCTCCTCCCTGCTGATTTGTTCCGAGTCTGAAAGTATATTGGAGTCCATGTTTAAAAACTGGACCTTTTGTGAATAAACAAGAATAAACGTGGTGAATGTAAAAAAGTTTATTAAAATGCAGGAAATAACTGGATTTGACATCTGTGTAGGCAGTGAAGGCCGTGAAATAATAACATATATTTGAGTTTAAAAGCACAGTGTAAAATAGCTGAATTAATTTTGAAAACATTTTCGGAATTCAGAAAGTACTATGACATTCGGTTGTCTACAAATGAAGTGATTTTGAATTTCTTAAGATACTTTATCTGAATCAGACTTTCTGAGGAAATGATTATGTTTAAGCCAGGACAAACATACTTTTCATGGAATGTGAGTTTTTTGTGAAATACTTTTTTTCCTAAACAGGTAGGAACAATCATGAAATGATTGCCCAAGGTTCAATATGCATTTTCCCCACACCTTCTAAAGAGAATTCTCCAACATTTGTATGGATACTGATATCAGTTAGAAATGTAAAATAGCACCATCCCACTGTAGAAAAGGTACAGTATTTGTATCCTGTGAAGTTTTTTCCTTCTTTAGTCTTCAGGAACTACATTTCATAAATTTGGCCAATTTAAGAATTTGAAGTTTTATGTAAGACTTATTTTCATCTTTGAAGATTTGCCATTTAGTTATCATTGTCAGTTTGGCATATCTGTTAAATTTCTGTTACAGGAGTTTTCAAAAAAAAGTGACACCTTTTCTTCAAATGAAATTGTATTATGAGGAACTGAATCTGTGAAACAGCCCTTTAAAAGGGGTTTGGTTCTAGTCAGAGGAGGAAGGAGTTCCATCCCCCCTTCCCAGGGTGACCAGCATCCTGTCTGACAAAGTACTAACACACGCTGCAATGTGGTGGAGCGCTACCCTAGGTGAAGGAAGCCGGTCACAAAGATTATGTAGTATAGGAATCCATGTATATGTAATGTCCGGGAAAGGTACGTCTATAGGAACAGAAAATAGATCGGTAGTGGCCTGGGGCTGGGGGTGGGAATGGGGCTAAGCTGCACATGGGGTTGCTTTGAGGTGAAGGGCATTTTCTAAAACTGGATTGTGGTGAAGGTTGCACAACCCTAGATTTACTAGAAGTCACTGAATTCGAGCACTTAAAACAGGTGAATGTTACAGTGTATAAATGATATAAATAGAAAAGCTGAGCAGAAATTGCTTTATAGGACAGAGAGGGGAGGGCTTTCCTCGTGTCCTTTGAAAAGAGTGAGCAGCTGTGAGAGCTGTTCGTGCCCCAGACTTGGCTGGTGCCCAGATCTCTATCAGTGCCCTCGGAAGTGTTTGTGAATCTTAATCTGAAAGGTTAAAGTGAAATAAGAATTCTATTCAAGCCTCAAGAAATCTGGGATTAAAAGAATCAATTACTAAAAAACTGTTAAGGGCTAATAAGCAGAGAATACTAAACAATGATTGGTAACTATTAGGAACTTGATTTTTACCTGTTTCTATTTGGTTCTTTATATCCCAATTGTATATTTGTTTTAGTGCCCTGATTACTAATAGTGATCAGTGGTTCTAATTAGCTACTTTTGTTTTTTAAAAATCAAATAGAGTGAAAACTCTATCCAGTTCTTTCCACAGTTCATTCTGCCACTGGGAAGGGTGAAATTCAATCCCTAAAGACAAACTCGTAATCATTGAGCAGATGGCAGAGTGACCCAAACTGAACAATCATGAACATTTATGACCACAGAAAGAAACATTTTGTGGGGATTTTTTTTTAATGAACAAATACAGAATTGGTTTTAAAACAAAAAGCAAGATAAAATTATGAAAGGAAGCACCACCAGGATCATCCTTTGTTATAAACAGAATACAAACCAAAAGTCCAGCACATTGGGTTTATCCTCCCACCTTTCAGCACCTCACCACCTGGACAACACATGCCTGGAATAGTGGTTTCAGAAATCGGACAACAGGACATTGGCCATTACCCTTGCTTACTGCCAGGAAAGGTCCCAGGCCACCACAGAGAGAGCAGGACCAAGGTGGAGCCTGGAGGTCTGTCCAAGTTTAGCAGACAAGTTAAAGATTGAGGGAAGCCAGGCAGCTAGAATCCGTAGAGTGAAGGACCAGAAAGGAGAAGCTGCTCAGAGAGCAAGCTCTGGAGATGAGCAGTGGGTCCCCTGGAGTCCAGCGGAGTCATCATCTGCTCCTGCCTGTGAGGAAACTACCCGAAGCTGGGAAAGAACCTCCCAGAGGATCAGAGGAAACAAAGTCCAGAGCTCACACGCACCCAAGAATGTTCCTTCTCCCACCAGCCAGAGTGGGGCAGTTAGCTCTGAACTAAAGGATGCTCTCACCCTGCTTAAGAATGCCTGAAAACAGGGTAGGCATATTCTTATGTGAAGGACCAGACAGTAAATATTTACAGCTTTGTGGGATATACTGTCTCTGTTACAACTACTCAGTTCTGCCCTGGTAGCATGCAAGCAGCCGTGGACAATACATGAATGAACGATAGTGGCTGCATTCCAATAAGACTTTATTTACAGACACTGAAATTTTAATTTAATATAATTCTCACATGCCACAAAATATTATTCTTTGATTTTTTTTAACCATTCAAAAAAGTAAAAAACATTCTTAACTCATAAGCCACACAAAACCAGATAGGGGGCCAGATTTGGCCCCTGGTATAGTTTGCTGATGTCTAATCAAAAAGATTAAACTGTTTTTGATTAACTGTGTCCCAGAACAAGGCTCAAACATATTTCAAAGACTACCAAAATCAAATCAAATCCAGCACCCAACAAAGTCAAATTCACAATGTCTGGTATCCAATCAGAAAGTTCCAGGCATGCAAAGAAGCAGGAAAATATGATCCATAATGAGGAAAGAGAAATAGACCTAGAAATTACACAGGTGATAGAATTTGTAGATAAAGACATTAAAACAGCTATCAAAAATATACTCCACGTGTCCAAAGGGCAGAGGAAAGCACAAGGATGTTATGGAGAGATGGAAGATACAAAAATGACTTAAATCAAATTCCTAGAAATAAAAAATACATCTGCAATGAAAAATACACTAACAGGAGATTAGGCACTGAAGATACAGCAATAGGAACTATCCAAATGGAAACACAGTGAGAAAAAGGGCACAGAGCATCAGTGAGCCGTGCGACAGCAGCAAGCAGCCTAACACACGAATTTAGAATCCCCAAAAGAGAAAACAAGCAGCACAGAAAATATACTTGTAGAAATAAAATGTAGTGCTTATTAAACCTGCTGCTTGGCTTTACTTACTGTGTTACTAAAGAAGCATTATCTACTAGTTCAGATTCATTCTTCAAAATGTTTCAGTAACATCAATTTCAGTATAACTGTATTCCTTTGTAGTCTTAGACTCTTAAGAGCATCATTCTGAAAAGGGGCACTGCACTTCACTAGGCCACCCAAGAATCCAAGGCACATCAAGGTTGAGAGCCCTGTTGGCACTTGTGTCCCCTCTGCGGTGGGCCTCCCCTAAGGTCTGGGGCATCTCTGGCAGGGTGTTCTGGGATTCACACACCTCCAGCCCCTAACACGGAGCCTGAGACCTTGTAGTTGCTCACTGATTGTTTAGTAAAGAATGCATGGTGGAAAAAATAAATGTTCTTTAAGTCCTTGGACAATTAAACAAGAAGAAATATGCGTACATTAATGCAGATGAAGTTTCTCCTGACCTATGATATTCACATCTGTCAGATTTCATCTGACACATTTCAAATACATTATCCCATTCATCCTACCAAGAGCCCTAGGTGCAGTAAGGAAACTGATGCCCAAAGACGAAATCTTTCCCAAGATGTCTGAGCTTGTGAGTGATGGGGCCAGGGCTGGAACCAGACCATGCCCACTGTGCCAGGGCTGTGGTTTGACCAGCTGAGTGCTTGGTGAAGGCAGGTCAAATCCTGGGCCAGACCATGGGGCGAGTGTGTGAAGCCCTGGCCTCAGCAGTTCAGATTCTCCCAGAGGGAGTCCCGAGGCTCTTTTAACACTTGTGTCTAATTCCCTGTCATTAAGGTGAACTCAAACGATGGGAATTCCAAGAAAGGTGGTAGGCAGTAGGCA